TTCATTAGCTAGTTAACTTCGGTTCACTTCGTCATAATCGCGCCACCGTGCCATGTATCATTTTCAGCTCCAGATTTCTGACCTATCCATTTTCAGGTAATCCTCCGGGTGCCATGACGAAGATTCATTACACCAAGAATCCTGATAATAGCACGAAATCGTGCAAAGCCCGTGGATCGGATCTCCGTGTTCATTTCAAGAACACCCACGAGACAGCTATGGCTCTCCGCAACATGCCTCTGAGACGTGCTCAACGTTACTTGGAGAATGTCAAAGAGCAGAGGGAGATTGTTCCTTTCCTGCGTTTCAATGGTGGTGTTGGACGAAAGGCCCAATGCAAGCAGTGGAATACCACACAGGGTCGTTGGCCGAAGAAATCAGCCGAATTCCTTCTTGACCTGCTTAAGTGAGTTCGTTTACATTGCTGTCTACATAGAACTTCTTTGTTGATTTTACTGGTGAGGTGTTTTGATATCAATTTTAAATCGGTTAGTGAATTCCTAAGCTCGGAAGTCACCTTTGCTGTAGTTGCTTCGCAAAAATCTGATCGCTTGACTTTTTCTTAAAGCAGTGACCATAATACGCTTTGCTGTTAACAGCTGCCTAGGTGCTTTTCCAGTACTGAGAGGCGTTTCGGTGCAGATCGCGGAAGGCATTTGAAACCACAGCAAACATTTTTTTTGTCACAGTGGTCCTGAGAAGGCGGCATTCATGCGCGAAAACTTTGAAGAAGTGATAAATCGGCCAATTGGAGAAAGTGTGTGTATCGATTTGAGAAACCGCGGAATTGATAAAAATGCAGAAACTGCAGAAAAGTCAAACGATGGTCAGCGAAACATATTCTTTCTTCTATTTGCTAGTTTCATTTCTTCTAAACGGTCATGAATGAACGCGGCCTAAACGCTTGACTGTTTCTTCGAATCTTTCCAGTAGTGAGGAGCGTTTCAGTGGACATTACGCGAGGCATTCAAAACTGCGACAAACATTTTCTTCTGTTTCAAAGGTTCAGCGAGCGAAAGCAGTACCCGTCTCTTCTTGCAGAGTAGAACTGCAAAAAAACGCAGTTTGCACAAGGGAGTGGAGTAGATGAGAAGTGCAAAAACTCTTGTTGCTAAAAGAAGTAGTTCCTCACGCCAACTACCCCTGACCTCTCTGCATCACTGAATGCTGGCTGAAATGGGAGCAACCGTAGAATTAGCTCGCGAACAAAGTTGGTGACTCTTCATTTCTTCGTGCTGCTTTTGCATTTTGAGATCACCATCA